AATAATATTATCTATTATTATCAGTACAGCTTTTCAGTGTTATTAGTAGGTAAGAATTTATCACAAGTAACTTGATATGTGTTTAAATTTATATATTCTGATTGATCACTGCAAATATGCACTGTTTAGAATTCATTGATGCGCAATGTTATGGTCACTGCTTGTGATGACTTTTCATTTACCAAATATTCACTCAAATGGAGTTGAAGTATTGCCAAGTAAATTTCAATAACTTTTGAATTTGAAACTTTGCTAGAAAAAAATAATACTTAAGTCGAATGTTATTAAGTTTGAAATTCAAAATAGCACTAGCCATGCATTATTTGTGATTAGTTATTGTTGCTACTTAATTGCTCTCTCAATTTAGTATTGTTATTTCTGAAGTTTAAATTTTTTCAAATGTAATTCGTTTTGAAAATTTAGAAGACTGCGATTGTCGTGACTGGAACGGTGGATGTAGAGCAAGTGGTGAGGAGTGGCTTGATGATGAGACTTGGGTTTATAGCTGCGAGGGAAAAAATGGGTTACAATTTTTTATTTTTTTGATATTTTAGTAAGCAATTAAAGAAAAATAAAGTCGCAATTTAATTTCAACTGAAAAAAACTGCAGAATAATTTGCGATTTCTGAACTATTTTCATTCGCAATAGCCATAATCATAGTTACTATTAGTTAATAGTAATGATAATATTTTTATTATTAGGACTTAATATTGTTATTATTATTGGACTTAATTTACTTACCTTTGAATTATTAGACTTAAAAAGAAATTAAAAGCTAGCAATTGTAGCAGTGGAAAATCAAAATTTATTGCTTGTCAAGGAAGTGAGCAATCAGAAAAACTGCTTATACCAGCTGGTGATAATCAAACAGTGGATGGCTTTTGGTTTAGCTGTAGCTATAATTCATTCGTGCTCAAATATGAAGAAGGCAAGCTTCTTTTTTTTCATTCATATGAAAGTTTATACAACATAATATAATAAATCTTCATGCAAAAAATGCCTTCATATCACGCAGATCTACATTCTTGAATCATAATTCTTGACAAATTATGATTCTGTAAAACCAATCGCTTGCAGAGCCAAGATGTGTAATAAATAAGACACAGTATCACGTGGGAGAACAATTTCGAGAAGGGTTTTTTAAATGGATTTGTATGGAAAATGGTAGATGGATAACAGGTACTAATCAAATTTGAAACAATTACCCATTTAAGCAAATGTTTTTCCCTGTAGTAAATTTGCTTTCTTTGAAAAAACTTTCAAATATTTTAAAAATTTTTCAATTAAAGTGCAATAATTATTATTCCAGGTTGTTATTATCAAAATGAAACAAAAGACTGGATTTTGTTAGATATCGGCCAAACTGGTTACAATGGCCTTGTGAAGCATACTTGCGACCGATATGATGATTACCCTGGAAGAGTCCAATATTATGCGGAGGTAATAAAATTTTTAGCTGATTCTCATGTCGTATTTGCAAACTTATACTGGTGCAAATTTATATTATAATGGTTATTCACTCATTTTCAACTTGTATTTTAACGATAAACTAAGGAGCTTGTGCTGAAAGTATTGCTGATAAGACACGATACTTCTAAATTTAAAAATATTTTATTACCTTAAAAATTAATTGAAAAAGTGTCGTATTTATTTTTTTATAAAAATTAAGTTTTATATAAATTTATGTTTTTTTTTAAATAATTTTATTTTGTGTTCATTTACATTCAATGTAATTTCAGGTGCGAACAGATATACCTGTAAAACATCCTACAAATAAAGGAAAGAATCAAAATTTACCCGAATTGGTTGATAACCGTCTGAAAGAAATACCTGTCCGATGGCTACATGCAAATGCTGCCACTTTTATTGACAACAGTAAAAACTTTATCTCAAAAGTTCGTTACTTGCATAATTTTTACGTGTGATTAAATCAAGTCTAATCTTATGAATAATTAAATTCATAAGAAATACTTTTTCATTTATCTAACTTCACGATGAATAATTGAAATTGTATGTGTGAGAAATTTATAAATTGTAGATGGCAACATAAATCATTCACAAAATATGTACAAATGTCCTAAATCAGTACAACGAAAAGTTTTTGATAGTCAAAATTTTGACAATCTTTAAATGATTGCCTATCAAGAACGCATTGCATTTAAATGTGTCAATTATTGTAAATTGCTCAGCAATTAAAAGTAATAAATCATAATCATAATTGTGTCATAAATAATTGAAAATCTCATAATTTCATTTCCAGCACTTTTAAGAATATCAAAACTTTGTATATTGAGAATATTAATTAATTTCGATCATGCAGTTTGATCATAAATCCCACATTTATTTATTAACTGTATGTTATGGCTTATAGCTTTAAAGTCTTCTGATTCCACTTTCAGCGACCCATTATAATAATAGTTTATTGAACTTATGGCGTGCTCATTCACTCCTTTGATAAAGTTCTTGCCATTTAGTGCAGTTTTGGTTAATCACTCATGCATGTGTATGCATGCTTATCCACTTCAAGTACGCTTGATCACGCAATTATGAGATCTTTATTCGCGTGACTACGAGTGTTCCTTTGTATGTGCTTGTGTGATGATGTGTCATATAAACGTGATTGCTTGTTCATGTGGTTATATTTATATGTATGACATGCAAATGTATGCTTATGTGTGCATACGTGTAATGGATATTTATACGTTACAATAAGCATGTGGATATGTATTTATGTCTAGGTGCATAATTATGATAAGTTTGTTCGTGCTTGCTTCTTTACATTTTGCGTGTGAGTGAATGCGCTGACGAGACACATGTGCATGCTTGTTCATTTGTAAATGCTGGCTTGGTACGCGCATATTTGAGTGAACAATCACATATATACACAAACACGTTCGTGTTTATGTGTGGATGCATATGAGTGCATTCAAGTGCTGTTTATGTGTACGTTTTCTTCATTGCACATAACTAATGAATTTATATCTTTGTATGCGTGTGTAGTTTTACGTGAACCACGTGTTTCGTTAGTTCGAGTAAAATAATTACAGTTTGCTTTTCCACTATTACTATAAATATACGTAACTATACATATTACGAAAATAGATTTGATCAATTCAGAGAAAGAATTGTTTCTTCAATTAAATGACATCTGAAAGCGGTTTCTGGTCAATTTTTCAATGTTTTCCACTTGTCTTAAGATGTCTTCTTGAAGTTATGCAAACTTTTTGATTTATCTTAGCCATGCAACAATCTTGCAGTGCTATATACTCCAAACTTGAAAAGAAAAGCTTGCAAGCAGATTGCGCACAATGGAAAGCATTCACATTATAATATTTACGTGTAACACAGTTGACGTTTCATTACAGTAGCATATAAACTGAATACTAGCAAGTGCAATGTTTTAAAGTTGTTATAAGGTTACGTTATTTTAATGAACTCTTTGATAAAAATTCGCAGTCAAATTTTGGATTGCGCAAAATAATCCTTTAGTTGTTGTGGTCAAAAAGTTGCCATGAAATCAGAAATGCAGATCAGCTCATAAATTACAACCGAAATGAGTTTTGATTCAAATTAGGTCAAAAATTCTAAATCATTAAATCACACAAAGTTAACAAATATTATTACAAAATTTCAACCATAGCAACTTTTTCTGATTCATTTCGAATTTATTAGTTGATTACTAATAAGAAGACATTAAGCTTTTGTTGCTTCATAATTTTTTGATAAAATGATTCTAAAAACCTATCCTTGATATTGAGGAGGAGGCGGAAGTGACCATAAGACAGCCGTACGATCAGCGCTAGTACTCAAAAATGAAAAGTCATGGGGATGCCATCTGAAAGGAAAAATAATTATAGAATCCTGTTGCTTCTAGCAAGAAACGTCATTGCATATTGTGTAAAGTTTCTATTTATTCCTATAATTACAATTAATTGCTTTTACAGTAAATTAATGTTAGTTACAGCATGACCAACAGATAAATAAATATAAATATTTATTTGATATTTCATTTTTGAACATTTAACGTAGCTCAAGTTTTTATCCATGCAATACTGATAACTTCATGATTACCTGCATTGAATAACTTTATCATTGTGTTCAGCTACGGGAAGATACATCAGTGGTGTCATCAAGTCACCTCTCATATCAGTGATAACTACCCTGAAATGCATCACGTCATTTATATCATTTTTAAATTAGAAATCTTAAAAAATATGCCAGAAATTACCTTTTGTCATATGAACCACTCAGAAGATAGTATGCAGCGTTGCTAAATCTTATAGTTCGGACTTCATCGCCATGAGGTCGGAAAATTTGCACAATTTTGCCACCAATAATATCATACAGCATTACTGAAGCATCTTCATGTCCTGACACCAATAACTTTCCACTTGGATCTACGCAGACTGATGTTACAGGTGCATCTAAAATAAAAACGAGTGATCATTTCACTCTCAAGTTCGGCTATTTAAATTCTAAACAAAACAGTAATTAAGTTTTTAAAATATTTTAAAATTTAATTGAAATATATAAAATTCTTACACTTTCTTACATTAAGTAAACTAACTAGACGTTTTAGAATCTGGTGAAACAACATTTACGGCTTCTGAACTTCTCAAATCCCAGAAGCGCGTTGTTTTGTCTTGTGAACAACTTACAAAATATCCACTACACCATGTATACAACCCAAGAATAGGAGCTATAAAATTTCTTACATCAGTTGATTTTTCACAAATTATTTGAATAAATTATAAAACAGTATAAATGGAAAAAATAATTAATTAGAAGCAAATAAGTAGCATAAGAATTAAGCAATTGGAGCGATTTTGAATATTGAAAATTCTCGCAAGAGAATTTATTTTTGAATAATTTGGGATAGAACCAAATAGAACTAAACTAAACCTTGTACTTTTAAAGAAATATTTTCACTTTACTTCAATTAAGTCATATCCTCACAAATTTTGATCACCCTTAGACTGGCAAGAAACAATCAGGCAAGAAGCCATATTTTCTATAAGAGACAGTAAACTCATAAATAAGCTTGCTTCTGATTATTATTGATGACTTCTTAAAATAAATAAAAGCATTTCTGATCACTACTTCGATTATACAATTATTAATGATCAATAAAATGAATTCACAACATCTCAAGTTCAAAAATTCATTGTTACATCTAAGAAATGGCATCAAAAAATGTTTGCTCTAAAAAAAATCTGAAGCTTACCTGTATGTCCTTGATAAGAATTAAATGCTTGACCAGTAACACAGTCGGTTAAGTAAATACGACAATTGCCAGCACCACCAGAAACCAAAATCGTACTTCGGTTTACCGTTTCTTCCATGAATATCAAATCTCGAACAGTACCGTCATGAATATTTAATTCTGTTTCTGCTCCTTAAATTCTTAATTTTTCACTACACTTTTTCCTAGTGGATATTTTTTCCACTTTTTTTAGCCATAATAAATGTACTCAATATTTGCTTATACTGTAATGCCACACTGCATTAAATCCTGAAAATATTACGCATAAAATATGTAATAATTTCTTGCTAAAGAATACATTGTACTGCATATGATTTTCTAATAAAATTGTATTCTGCATGAAGTTGCTATGTCTAATGTGTAGCCTTTAAAATCTGAATTCCCTACAGTAATTAAGGATAATTTTAGTAATGATGTTAATTACTTACCAATTTTGCAGTGTTCTGTATTGAATGCCATCAACCGTAATGTTTTATCATTGGAACCAGTTGCAAGTAATTCACCTGTAGAATTAAAGCCCAAACAATACACGCTACCTCGATGTTGCTTAGGTCTCGATAACATAATATTAACATGACTAAGAGATGATTCAGCTCTGAAAAGTTAAGTATTCATAGTAAAAATTAAAATTATGCATTGAGCAGAGTCTACAACAAGCATATACATGATGCAAACAATTATTATACTTTGATAATTCTGTGGCAGTCAAAGTTGTACAAATCATAAGACTTGTTTTTATTTTGCTAAATGCTAAATATAAAAGATTTTACCTTTTTGGTACAAACTATTTTTTTGATTACTTTTGCTAAAAACATTTTTATTACTTTATAATCCAAAGCAATATTACGTTAATATTTAATAATTTTCTGAGCAAAAATGTAAATAAACGAAATATTAATGGTAACAATTGCAAGTAATAATGTCATTTCTAATAGTAATTGTCACAATTGTTATCTACTAATTACTGTGTTTCAATATTGAAGAATACTCGAACTTACTTAAACTTTCTAAGGTCAGGATATTTACATACAAGCATCTGTTTTGAATTGGTTCCTAATGCAAAAAAGCGACCACTTGGATGAAATGCCACTGCTCTTATTGCTTGTGCATCCTCATATCTGGTGAAAGTCATTATACATTATTTTCAAAAACAATAAATCTTTCCAAAAAACAAAACAGAAACAAAATTAAAAACTTACCGGGAAACAGGAACAAATTGTACACTAAGTCCACTTGTTGAGCAAGGTGCTTGTGGTACTGTGGTAACAATCGGAGTACCTACCGTACTGACACTTTTCTGGACTTGAGATCGGTTAGGCCTGTTAGATATGGTATGAGTATCTGATATTGTCATCACCAAAGGTGCTGCTTTTGGCACTGCATCTGGCTGAATAGCAAATTCAAAATAAATGCTTATTTAATTTATGAAAATACTTTTGAAAAAAATGCTGTAAGTAACAAAAATTAATTACAGCTGTGAAGTAAAGGATCTTTTTAAGTTGATTATGACAGAGAATACGAATTTCTTTTAGACTTAAAGTTTTTTAAATGATGTTACCAAGTAGGGCAAAGTATTGCTCCTCTGTTGAATATAGTTGCCAGTAGGAGAGGGTGATACTCTGGGAGATGACTTTGAGATGTTCGCAGAATTCAAGCGTACTATTTGATTACTTGAGTGAATAATTTGCTCTTGTGAACACGTGCTACTACTTTGCTGTTTTTCTGAAAAAATTTTTTGCGTATTTCATTCACTAACATATCTTCTCAATGGTATTTCAGTCAAAATAATAATTCTAAAGATAACATTGATAAATAATTTTATGTTAATTATTAATCAGACATTTTCATTTATTTTAGAAAATCAAGGATTGAAGCTTTGTTTTTTTGTACAGCAATGTTAAATTGAGTGAAAAATTCGATTAGTGTAAATATAAAATTCATAAAAAGAATTTTTATCTTGTAAATACCGATTATGAGAATATTCAAATTTGAACTTCTGTTTTTTTCTGTTTTTCTCTAAAAGTTTATTTAATTTTTTTACTACTAAAAAACTTACTTGAAAATATATAAAACATAGTATACTTTAATGCATAAATAATTTTTCACTATTTGATATCATGCAAAATAAAAATTGAAACTAAAATTAAATGAAAAAAAATTCAAAAATCAATTAAACCTTGATGTCGCTGTTGCCGATTCGAGAATTCTTGGAACAGTCGTGATGATGTCATTGGATTAAATACTGGTTGAGATAGACTTGATTGAGATTGTGGAACAGGTGAAGAAGTTTGAGATGTTATTTCCTTGATCATATCTAAAGAGTTTTCATTTCGAGCTGAATATTCTCCAGGCGTGGGAATTTCTGGTACAGGTGGCAAGGATCCAAAACGTAGTCCACGTCGAGCAATATCGTCTAATTGACGTCTTAGTGTATTATCTACGGAGATCGGCACTTGCATTGTCATTGGTGGTATTTGTTGACCAAACATTCCCATAGATTGTGCCATCATTACTGCTCTAAATTTCGCTTTCATTCATGACTTAATTTATATAAAAAATTAGGATTAGTTACTATAATATAAATTAAAATCAACTATTATTATATTTAGCACCAAATTTTATTTCATACAAATGTCAAATGCTAAATTTGAATATTAAATTATTCTTATTACAAAACGAACTTTGAAATACTCATTTAAATTTTTGTACTGATATATACAAAACTCACTGATTAACTTGCGTAGCATTAAGTGCTGAAGTCGATGCTTGCATAGTAGCTGGATTTGGATAGGGCAAAATTTGATCAGATGGTGATTTCATAGGTCGAGTACTTCTAGTATGTTCAGATGTTTCAAACATAGCATCGATCATCTGACTTTGAGCCATAATCTCTTGCGGATGCTCTTCTGTAGCACTTTGAATTGAAAATCCAACTGATGGCATTGTTGAGTATGACATAGGATGCAAAGGATTTCTCGCTCCAGCTAATGCACCTATAAATTCACTTTTTACAACCACACTCATTCTTTATTCCAATAAAATTTTTGATTAATTTTAATAAACTTTTTAACTATCATTAATTGTTACTTACTGCTATTACTGTATTATTCTTCCAATTATAATGTCTAAAAGTATGCTACTAATCTTAAATTAGATCGCGCAGTGGACTTTTTTGGTTTATGTATTCTGAATTGTTACTTATCATTTACTTGTAATGCGGTAGTAATCTTTTATGCGACAAAAAATTGTCTCACTACAAAACTACACTCAAAGTATAATAATTTCTTGAACTTAATTGCATAATACTAATATACTGAAAAGATAATATTATGGTAAATTAATGAAAAATTTACCAACAGCTATAGATGAAGCCATTGATGGCAATATCATAGACCGAGACATTTTTTCGGTACTTTTTAATTTAGCATTGGGTACCAAAGCATGTGGAAATGTGCCACCAGGTTTAATTGGTGCCGCTAGAATGTGTTCCGTCCACTGAGCTTCCAGTTTAGGCTTTCTAAATTTAAATAAATAATTGCTATAAAAATTTCTGTCAATAATAATAAAAGTTAGATGATAATTTTTTAATAGTAATTCAGTCTAATATTTACTGCTTCCATAAAATAGCAAAGTTTTGAAGCAAACATGAAGTGTGCGAAAATATATTGCTTTACAATGAAATTTAATAATAACAAAAAAACTTGCTTCACTTTATCGAATTTCAAATCTAATGATTTTTGCTCAAATGGCATTGTGAATTGTTCACGGCTGATTGCTGCAAGCCAGGATATCAGTGATAAATCCGTATTTGTTAATCGAGATTTTAGTGATAAAAGTGCTGTAGGCACTGCGCCTTTCTCAATACCTATAAAAATCATATAAGATACCGTTTGAATCAACGCAATGCATTAAAATTTGTACAATAGAGTACTTATTTATTAATTTCGTTGTGATGATAACAATGATAATGATAATAATAACAACAATACTAATTATAATAACTTTTAACAGTTATGATACTGATTTTAGGAAGCATTTATTTTAATTTTTACAACTTTATGTTGTTTATTTGATTTCCATCAGTGTGTTTTGATTATTATTACTGATTGTAAACTCCAATGTATTCCCAAAATTAGCGCAGTTTTTACCTTTCTGATCATTTATAGCTTGTGCTTGACAATAATCTACACATCCTTCATACATGGCACCTTTTACAATTAACTGCACCAAACGATCGTTTAAAGAGTATACAGTTGGCATCTGGTCAGTACTTTTAACAGTTGAAGGTAGTAAGGGTGTAAGCATTGGTTCAACCTATAATTGATGATTATTTATTTAGTAAAAAAAATCATTACTTGTGCAAATGACATGAATAAAACTACATAAACTTTTTTAAATTATTTCTTAGTATAATATGATCATATATCTATTCCAACATTTTGTGTTCAAATCAAAATTGATTAGACAACCTTTCGGAAGCACTCAACTCGAGCGCTGCTTGGATTCCAATGCTTGAAATCCACATGATCGGACAGCTTAGGTAAAGTAAGTAATGCACACAAACCGCGAAAATCTTCTGGCGTTGGACAGATATGTTCCAAATCTTTTAAGCATTCTACTAATTCCTGCAAGTAAAAATTTATGCTTTTTTAATTACTCTTTTTTAGAAAATTTCAGAATTAAATTAATTGTTGCATACCTCAACAGTAAAATCATTATCATGCATTGGTCCCGGTTCTTGCTTAATGCATAATAATTCAAAATATTTATATTTGGTTATGTAATATCGAAATAATCGTAGGTCAAAATTTGGCAAGTCTTGGAGTGGCTCGACAAAATCTAATGCATTATCCCATTGACCATCTAAGATTAACTGTCGTAGAAATAATAAATCATCCGAGAAATTCCCGTTGATTATACCCGTTTCTCGTTCTAATGAAAGCTGAAGTACAGTTTATCAAAAGATTTTAAAAAATATAACAAAATATTTAAGATCTTTTAAACAAGTAATCATTAATTAATTATTCTTTAAAAATTCTTTCATAATTTCAGTATGCTTGATATTGCTATATAATTAACCTGCGTTATATGCAAATTTCTTGTTTCCAAAAACTCCAAAATAGCTTTGATCACATCTTTCTCACTAACAGTTACATGTACAGCTGCTGGCATAATTACTCACTTATACTTCTATTAAAGAATTCATTTCTAAAACAAATTATTTAGTAATTTGATATTCACATTTTGAATGCATGCTTGTAAAAATGCTTGGAATATAAATAATTTTGATTTTCAGACATTAATATTTAATATTTCCAATTATCAAAGAATTGGAAAATGTAATTAGATATTAGAGTGCTAAAACATTATTTGATCACAAAAAATGTAGAAAAACTGCAAATTTAATTTAAACTGTACTTAAAAAAAGTATTAGGTGGTGGAACACAAGCAAAACATCTTTAGCATTTACGCGAAAAGTAATTCCTATCATGAGTTCATAAAATATTACGTATAATATCAGATGTATGGTAATAATCAGATTGCTACAGCTGATTACTACTCAGACGATATGGGTTAAATATGGAACAATTCAAAAATGATAGCATAAAATTAAAAATATATTAAAAATAAAATGAATAAATGTTTAAATTTAACTGTGTTCCTAAAATTATTACAGTAAATCAAATTTTGCTGTTGTATAAATTGTAAATTTTTAAACTGCAATACTCTGTACTGCAATGATATTGCAAAAGCATGCATACTGTAATGATTTTAGAAACACAATTAAATTTAATAATTATTCGTCAAAAAAATAAACTTTCGTCAAGTAATCAATTAATAATTAAGTAACAAAAAATCATCATAGATTGTATGACAATAATAATAATAATAATAATAATAATAATATATCAAATTAATAATTAATATCACATTAATATCATTGATAATGCTTAATCGAATGCCAAAAAGCTGCCATTATAATTAAGTAATTAATCTTAGTAATGAATGAAATGATTAAGCAGAACTAAATATTAGCATAAACAAAGTTTATCAAAGTAATACTTAATTCATGAAAACTTTCTACTTTTTCATGAAGAAAAGCTTTGTTGATCACTTTAAAGAGGCAAACGATATTATTATTACTACGTAATAGCAAAAATGAACTTATAGAAAATAATCTCTGCCAAAAGTACTTTTACAAAATGCTTGCAATTAATTCTGAAATGAAAGTTACAGAGTGAATTCAGTACTAATAAAGCGCAAACTTTTTGTTGGTAACTATTGCAAATTGAAAATTTAATAATTCAATAAATAAGTAATTGAGTAAATGAAAAAATAGATTAATGAATAATTAAAGGAAGAGATAAAAGTAAAAAGAAAAAATATTGATTGATATATACTGTAATTTTATATTTGTATTAAAAATATATAAAATATAAAATAGATTCATTATGAGAATTATTGAGGAGCAAAAAAGGAAGTAGACAGTATTTGGGGAAGATGAAGCAACTACTTTTAGTCTAATACTTCTGCGCTAACTGACAAACGATATCGAATTTCGATAAAGACGAGCTTGGCTCATTTATGAAAAAGAAAAATGTATTACTGCAATGGATTGATTAAATGTCATGCATGCAAAAAAAAACGAACTGCTATATTTGAATACTAAATTTTTAAATAAATCTATTTTTTTTTGATATTAAACGAATAATTCTCTTACTTACTAGTAGTCTAATTTTTGTTGCTCCAACTTAACACTCTCTTATAAGCTTACTTTCAAGAACTTGAGATTAGTTACTACAAAAATTCATTACTTTTACATCTTCTGCTCTCGATTGAACCTGTTTTTTAAATTTATTAGCATCATTTAATTTTTCATCAAATTATACCAAAAATAGTTTAAACAAGAATCAATTCAGTATGAAATATGTATTTTTTCCTAAAAATCAATTTTGAGGTATACTTAAAATAGTAATAAAGTTAAATAAATTAAGTATTTGAATACAAATTTCTTATTAAGTTAATAAACTATTTTATTATGTAATTTTATAGTACTTAAGCATAAAATATCATACAATAATAATTAAATATCAGCGCAATACATGACTGCTATCATAATGTTACAGCATATCATATCATATCATATCATATCACTCAGATAGCAAAAATTTAACAAATTACCAACAATTCAAGTAATAGATTTTAGCACTGAAAAAAGTTATTATAAACCAGAAATTTATGATGTGATCGGTAAATACGCTGCGATTGCCAACTGACACATACATTAAAGTGCGTTTTAATTTTTGAGCAAAAAAGCAAAATGTAGCAGCTGCACATTAAATGACGACAACAACACAAGTGAATAAATTTAACAGATTGAAAAAATGGATTTGACCTGATTTGAGCACATGCAAGTGAAGAGATCAAGATTAAAAAGTAATTTGATTGATTAGTTAATTAACTAATTAATTAATTATGGGAAAAATAAAAAATAAATAGTTGGAAAGATTAAAAAGAATTAATTAGTTTAACTAATCGCAAATTTTTTGCTATTTTTATCTTTGAGTTTTAAATCAAAAACATTCACTCTAATTTTTAAAAAAAGGCACGCAGTACGTATAACTGAATAATAAAATTGTGCAGAAAAGGTTAATCTTAAATAAGCATAGATTTTGATATCAATCTTAGATTATGGCTTGAATTGCTATGTGTTATAATAACGATTGTGTATATCAAATAATTTATATTTAACGTGCTATTCACGATTAATTTGTAAAAAAATAATTACAATATTCTAAGCAAATTATCGAAAATTATTTATGATCGAAATTTGTGTCATTTGCAAGTATTTGTCATTATCTGATGCACAAAACTGAATTGCAGTTTGCTTACTTTATTATTTATTTAAGAAATATACCATTATTAGTTATTATTATATTTAATTTATTTATTATTTTAATTTTAGTTTTGCGCCTTTTACTTATTACTGCTTACTTAAATTTCTGACCTCTAAAGTCTTTTTCAAATCTTTTTAATTCATAAAATTGAAAAAGCATAATTTTGTTTGCAACATAATGGATGAGAGTGTTCAGATGCAGCTCTAACAGAGTACTGCTCGTAATACAAAAAATAAACGATCATAACAAGCATTTATTTTCTCGTTTTCTCCAATGAATGTTTGTACTAAATGAATAATGTAAACTATTAGAAAAAACTTGAACTGATCAATGAAAAGGTCAAAGTTTAGTATTAGTTTTGTGATAGTTTTGGATGTAAGAATAAAGTGAATACAAAAATAAATAAATAAGAATAGATACGAATAAAAAATAATTTAAAAATACTCGTCAATATATTAATAAAAATATTTTTGCATAAAATTTTATGTGCCTGTAATAATTTTCACTTTTTACAAAAATATTCAAATAAAATAAGCATTAACATTAGTTTATGCAACAATTTCAAAAGATCTATGCAAGAAATTGAAATTTCTAATTTTTTTAAAACGATTCTGAATGCACGAAACAACTTCATCACTTGTGAATTAATTTGAAAAAGGCAGTTTGTTGACAAAAATTTTGCTGATTGGAACTTAAAGAATCAATCAAAAAGTAAAGGGAATTCAATTTATGTGAAGAAATGAATTGCTGCAAACAGTATTATTTACATTTTAACCAAAATTGTAAGCTATCAGACAAGCTATTTGCACTAATCCATTAGAAAGTGCATATTTGAGAGTGATATCACGTTTTGAGGTCAAAGGTCATGGATAAATATGTTCTGAAAATGAATCATTTTTACTAAATTATTGGCATCAAATGTGAATTAAAAAATTCCCAAAAAATCTTAAATTTTCAGTGCAGATAATAAATGAAATTGAACATTGTTAAGCAAGAAAACATAAGCTTATAAAAAAATTTACAAGTGCCAAGACTTATTTTAAGTAAGATTGATTTTAAACTGCTTACATTTAAAAATTTGTATTGTTACACAGTACTAAAATATTTGAATGAAAAAATAAAAATAGATGCCTTAAAAAAACAATGAAGTTTTTCTACTTGGATGCTATACATCATCATAGATTGAATAATATTTAGAGCTTCAACGCTTTCAGCTATATTTATATATTTATTCATTTATTTTTGACATAAGTATAAAAGATAAGTAAATATGTCTAAGTTATTGTAATTAAAAATGTATTAACTTTAGTCAATGCCTCATTATTTATTTGCATAAAAAGTTTTTGGCAAATTTGCATGCAAGCATAAATTAATTACATGAAAACTCGTCAAAGTCATTAAAGTCAAGCAAATTTGCAGTCACATTATTACAAATATTGAAAAATTTTAGTCATATTATTACAAATATTCAAAAATTGAAAATGATCTCAAATTATCAAAATATTATTTATTGAAACTCACTTAAGCATTTATGACTTTTACACATATTTTAGTCTTTTTATTTATATAGCTGTTTTGTACCAATAAAAAGCCTAAAATGTCTAACATCAAAACTGATTCATTTCTAGCCTTGAGCAGTTAAGCCTAGATTACTTATGATCAAAAAAAATAATTTTATTATTTTTTTCAAAAAATAACGAAATATCATGTTCTTTTTCAGTTGCATAAATCTAAATTATCATTCAATAAATTTAGAACAAAAAAATATTTAATTACAAATGGAATAGAAAATAGAACTTGTGCATATACTAATAATTTTAAAAAATTAATTCAATTACTTTAATTACAAATAGCAATAAAAATTAGAAGTGAATTGTTTCTAAACGGAACAAAAAAATATTCAAGCTATTATGATGTGCGAAAAATAAAATAAAATAATCAAATTGATTTTAGTCAGAATTAGCCTTGAAAATGAGGCACGATTATAGGCAAAAAGACTTTATTCGCAAAATTGCTAGGCCATATAAATAAAGCCTTAAGTTTATTGTTAAATCGATGGGCCTATTCTTTTTTCCTTATGCTTTTTTATACTTCTGAACTTGACTAAGTTTTTGCAATGTTGGATAAGCAGCAGAGAGAGGAGCTATGCTTAAGGATTTAAAAAAAGCTCGAAAGGCTTTTATTAAGTAAAATTTCTTCTTCGAAAATAACAATAAGTTACTTCTCTGATCTTTTTTTTGTCACACTGACATAGCAAATTTAATAAATTGCATATTCAAAAATAATATTTGTCTCAAAAATTGCAATGCTAATAAATTGTAATAATAGAATTATTTTAACTTTAGAGAAGTATTGATTTTATGAACATAACTAAATTTAATTTATTAGTATGATTTTGATCATCATTATTATTTATTTTTATTATCTTTCGGAAAATTTATTAATTTAAAAAAAATCATATTATTGCAATTTATAATTACTCCAATCAAAATATCGAATGCCGAAAAAGATAATAAAATTATTATTATTGAGTTGAAATAATAAATCAAATAATTATTCTAACTAAAAATTAATAATTCTCTAAAAAATTGCAGTGATATTTTAATAAAAAAATTTGAATCTATTAACTTATGTAAATTAAAATAGCTCACTTTTTCTAATACTTTGTAGTTTTTTACATTGTTTATTAAATTAAAATATAATAAAAAATTAATTAAAATTTAATAATTTTAGTTCATTATACTTATAAAACTAATTAATACTTGATCTCAAATATTTTACAAAACACACTCATCAACGAGAATAGATTTAGTTAAGGCAAATATGTAAATTTTAAGGTCAAATATAAGACAGAAAAACAAATTATTACAAAATTTGATTGAATCAAACAGTTTAAATAATCACAACTTCAACGAAATTTCAAGGTTGTAAGTATTCGAATATTATAATAATGTTTCATTTGTTTCCTCGTCAATACTTTCATCATTGTCCGTTTCGTAAAGTCGAGATTTTTTCTCCGCTATTTTCACGTGTAATTGTGAATCAGTAACAGGTTGTAAAGGTTCAAAAGTTTCCATTTCATGAAATGATTTCATGTCTTCAATTTCTTTGATTGTTTTCGATTTCTGTTCCTATAAAAAAATTTAGGTCAAAAAACTGAAAAGAAAATTTTCTGCATTACTCAGACTGCTGTTTGATATTTTCTGCATTAAAATTTTCTGCATTACTCAGACTGCTGTTTGGTATGGTATGGTTTATTTTATTTCAAAGGAAAAATATATTATTAATTATCACTCTTAAATATTTTTTTACCATACCAAACTAAAGCAAACACATGTTTACGTAATTACTACGTATATAGTAGTAATTTTCTACGTAATTATTGCTACGTAATTTGTATATTTTTGTGCATTTGTTTTTTTTTTCAAAATAATTAAAATTATGCATCGAAAAAATTAAAATTGCAATGTGATTTTTTTAGAACAAGCTTTTTAGTTCCACAGCATAACATAACATAATTTATTAAGTATTTTATAAAAATTTGCAGCTTTTCAATTTAGACAAATACAAAAAATATGGATTAAATTTGTCTGCCTTTACATTTATAATATGCAAAAAACAGTTCGCTACCTTCATAATGTCATCCAAATTTCCCAGCCATCTAACTTTATCAAAATTAAAAGTATTTGAATTTCTGAAAGAATTCAAACTTTTAATACTAATTAGCAAAAAAAAAACTTTTCTATTTTCTCATCTAAATTTAACAAAAGAAAAATTAATTCATATGAATAACTAGAAATGAAATTAATTTAAATATCATGATAAGTTAAGTTAATGAAAGCAATGAAATGAAATGCACATACTCTTCATCATCCTTAGGTGCTTCTACTTGGGTTTTATCTAAATCTTTCGTTTGCTACAAACAAAAATAGAGTAATTGCTATTCAAAAATAAACTTTATATGAATAACAAATTATGTCATTGGTATTTACATTATCAAATTCATAATGCTGCGTAAATCTGTTTTTTACAAACATTAAAAAGTAATTAACATTGTTACTTTTTGCAGATTACCATAATCTATGAATATTCCTTTAATTACTTAAAACTATATTTGAATAAGCAGCATGATGACACTAACAGTCATTTTAAGTATAATTTACTACTTGTAAAAAGTTATTTTCAAGGAATATGCAGAAAAGAAGAGAAAAAACCAACTTTTTTGAGTACTTCGCTAATTACACTCTTTGCTTTCTGATTTAGTGCCTACAAAAATCTTCTCTGTATTCATAAATGCAATTAATTATTTCAAGCTGCTAGGAGATATAATTGTTAAAATCGGTGACACATTTTATGATAAAAATAGCTAATTTAAATCTGAAGTAATATTTAGTCCATACTTTGTTAGACTAAATGTAACAAATAAATTAAAAATAAAATAAAACAAATGTAGTTAATTTAAAACTGAAGTAAAATTTAGATCGTACTTTGGTAGACTAAATATATGAAAATCCCGTTTTATGCATAATATCTCAGTCTATGGTAATACTTTTAGAGTATTTTATGTCCTGAGTGCTAGATCTCAGTCTATGGTAATATTTTTAGAGTATTTTATGTCCTGAGTGCTAGATCACGGAAATATACTCAGCTCACAATACTCATTACGTATTTAAAATGCTATTACTTGTGCTAACTAATAGTTACTTAATTATTCTAAATATTAATATTGTATGTATTTATAATTTAAATAGTAAATATAAATTATAGTGCTAAGTATGGTTACAATCAAACAGTAATAAGCTACAATTTGCTGAGACAAATCGAATTGTCCACCTTCCTTTGCACGGTCTTTTTTCTTCTTTATCATTGCACTCTGTTTTATGCTAATTTTAGGTATTTTACATCGTTTAAAAGTAATAAATTTTATTATGCCAAATTTCCTTTCGAAATTTATAAGATTATTAATAAAATTTTTCTAAAAAATTTAATAAAAAATATTTTGAAGTGTTTTTTAATATATACAAATTGTTGCATTGTCCATTTGTAAGCTAAAATTTGCTGCAATAAAATTTGTTAATGGCATTTTTTGTTCATTACAGCAAAGTTTATTAAGTAAACAACAATAAAATCAAGTGAGAAATATATTTATTTAATTATGCTATTTTTTTATATTTACGATAATTATTTCAAAAAGCAACACTATTACTCTAACTTGCAGCAACAATTACAGTAGTTTTATTTCGATTAAAAATAATGTAATTGTGAGTATTACAATAGCACAAACCATCCAACGAGAGTTACTCGAAGGCTTATTTGACTTTAAAGGAATTGCTATCAAAGCTTTAATCTTTTTCTGCTTTAATGGTACTTTATGCTTGATTGGTTCATAAGATTTGACGACAATTTTTGCTCGTTTCTTTACAATTCTTCGTTTGCAGCATGCTTGTAAAGGGAGTAAAATGACTAAAATTGCGCATAAACTTTTTGCCAATTGACATATGACATTTCTAAATTCTGCAATTAAAAATTTCTTGCAAATATTTTTAGAATTATAACAAAATAAAAGTATTCTTAAAATTAAATTAATTTTTGCTTTAGAAACTATCTAAGCACAAAAGCAATCAACAAAGTAATTGCAAACAATACCTATGCAATACTTATACATAAATGCAATCAATTCATAATTTAATTACAAATTACAAATTACAATATACTTAAATGAATAAAAAATTAAAGTGTGTTTTTATGCTACTATAAAAGTCAACAAATGAAACTATGGCATATTGAATAAGACAACTGAAAGAGATAGAAAAAGTTTTAGACAACAAACGTTTAATAAAGTCAGCTTGTAAATTAATCTCTGAAATAATCTCTGACGCTAAATCAAGCGTTGATACAAGCCAAGCATTCATTACTTATTCTTAATTTATAACAAACGCCTTATATTCCTGATTACAAAAACAAAATGAAATTATTCGACGTAATGACCTTTTTATATCAGGTCATATTAGAAATAATGTAATAAATGTATGCAAATTTTTTTAATGATATAAATCAATTTATTCACATAGTTCACAGAAAAAAAACTTGCACCTTAAAAGGTTTGCAGTGAGTATTCAACACTATGCATTCACAATAATAATACGCTTTGTTATTATTCAGAATTACTATCTATGCTAATACTCAGATAAATTACTAACGAACGCATAATTAATATCTTGTAATTACTGTAAGTCACTGTTTATAGTTAGTGACATTAGAGTTTTCAAAGTAGCCTGAAAGCGGAAAATTTAAAACTATCATCGTGATAAAACGTTACCTTAAAGTTGAGAAATGAAAGAACTAAGGACAGGGAAATTAGTCTACTAGTGAAAGAGGTAGAAAGTAGTACAGGTAGGAGGTTAGTCAGGTAATCTCATATGTTTGGTGTAATATTTTCGGAAGTTAATAGTTATGTATATTATATAAAGAAACATGACATGATATTTTTTGATTATTTGATCTATTCATGAAAATATAAATAAAATTAAAATGTTTTATATGTGATCTCAGAAAAATTTTCAATATTTAACTATTAATAGACATTAACTTCATTGAATAAAATTAGAATGTTCTGTATGTGATCTGAGAATATCATAAATATTGAATTGCAGTTTGACGTGTAATTAGTTGTACATTTTTAGGTAAGAATCATTTTTTCTTTTGTTGGTTAGAAATGATTTCAAGCGTAAAGAACGATTGATTTGGAAGCTGTAATAAAATTATTGTTGTTATCAAGGATTTATAGCTTAGTATCAACGCAGATAACAGCATTTCGTTACTAGTATTGTGCTGAAACACATGAACAAAGCTTAGTATAACAAAGAATTCTTTTAAATATGTTGCAGATGGTTCGGACAAAGTTAGATAATCGAATTAGAATTATTGTGGAAAATGGTGTTGCTACGGGACATCGTTCAATGTTTGTCATCGTTGGAGACAAAGGAAAGGATCAAGTTAGTTCTTGTTTTCAATTTCTTTTATCAAAAATTTATTGCTTAGTTTTCGGTAGAAGGAGATAATTTTGTTTTTTCTTGTCTTCTGAGTGTTGAGAAGTCAATAACTTGCGTAATTGAAGTAAAATCATGAGAAAAGTTGTGACTGTTTTTAAAGGTTGTTATTCTGCATCACATACTCTCGAAAGCAACAGTCGCTGCCAGACCTTCCGTCCTTTGGTGTTATAAGAAAGAGCTTGGATTTACTTCACATCGAAAAAAACGTATGAAGGAATTGAAAAGGAAAATGCGTAATGGTCGCATGGATCTAAAGGTTTTATTGTACCCTAGTTTTTTGCGTCTACTAGAACTCAAAAAATTTTCAAAATTTGAATATATGTCTCGTTGATAGTTTTTCATTTAAAGGATAATGTATTGTTTCAGGAGAATGATCCATTTGAACTGTTTATTTCGTCAACACATATTCGTTACTGTTATTATGCTGAAACACATAAAATAATGGGCAATACATTTGGAATGCTTGTTCTTCAGGTTGTCTATTTTTCTTTCTTATTTTCCTTGCTACTTAAGTCTGTTCACTGTATTGTTTTTTCAGGGAGATCTTAAAAAAAATTATACTTTAGGATTTTGAAGCAATCACACCTAACCTTTTGGCTCGAACTGTTGAAACGGTGGAGGGAGGTGGTGTAATTATTTTGTTGCTTAAAAGTGTTAGCTCTCTTAAGCAGTTATTCGCAATGACAATGGTATTCCTTTACTTCAGTGTTGAAATTTTTTTCGTTTGGGGTTTTTTGTATGTTATGATTCTTGTCAGTTCACTTTCGGTAAAGTTTTCAGTAAGAAGTTTTCAGGATGTTCATAGTCGTTTTCGTACTGAATCTCATTCCGATGTAGTTCCACGTTTCAATGAACGTTTCATACTATCATTAGCCAGTTGTCGTAGTTGCGCAGTCATGGATGATCGTTTAAATGTGTTGCCTCTTTCATCACATGTTTTAAAAATCGAAGCAGTGCCTGCGAGTGTCAAGGTATTTATATTTTGAATCGTTTTTAAATCTTTTGAACATAAAATTCATTCAAAGAAAATTTTTTAAATTGTAGAGTAATCTTAGCGCACAAGACGAAGAGTTAATAACATTGAAAGAGTCGTTATCAGAAACAAAACCGATCGGTCATTTATTAAACAAATGTAGAACATTGTGTCAAGCAAAGGTTCGCTTATTAATTTTTGGTTCTGTGAGAATATTTCATTTGATGTTGATGGACAAAAAGTTTTTTATTTTTATTTCAGTAATCTTTTTAATTTTTATTTTATTGTTAAAACTTCGCCATGTGGTAATCTTGAGGTTCATTCTTTTCATTTATATTTATATTCCAGACTCTACTAAGACTTTTGGATGTAATAACAGAAAAAACGTTGCAAGCAACTTGCTGCATAACAGCAGCTCGAGGACGTGGAAAATCGGCCGCTCTTGGATTAGCAGTCGCGGGTGCTGTTGGTTTTGATTACACAAATATATTCGTGACTAGTCCATCTCCAGACAACTTAAAAACACTGTTTGAGTTTGTTGTTAAAGGATTAGAAGCTATGAATTATGAAGAACATATAGATTTTGAATTAATTCAATCAACAAATAAAGAGTACAACAAAGCTTTGGTCCGGATCAACATTTTTAAAGGTCATCGACAAGTTATTCAGGTGCTCAGTCATTTTCCCGCAAATTATGCTCAAATGAAATCACATAAGTTAGTTTGTCTAAAGTTAGTAAACAGCACTTCATTTGGTATTTGAGATAAGTGCTTTTTAGTATATCGATCCTCGTGATTCTGTTAAATTGTCGCAAGCTGAATTGGTAGTGATTGATGAAGCTGCAGCTATTCCTCTTCCTATTGTAAAGAGGCTAATCGCAGGTGAGGTACTCCATATTTAGCAAAGCTTAGTTGTTGTTTAAGAGGAAAGAAAAGTTTCTTATAAACTTCTTCTAGAGATCATAGTGAAAATTAGTTTTGTAAACTTTTGAAGTTTACCAAGCATTTTAAGGCCCGTATCTCGTTTTTCTCGCTTCAACCATCAATGGTTATGAAGGAACAGGTCGCTCATTATCGCTGAAGTTATTGCAACAGCTTCGTGAACAAGCAGCCGGTTTGTTGAAAGACCATAAGGAAGGGCAAGTTGTGGTTGCTGTAAAAGGTGATTTTATGACTCTGTTTCTATTAAATGATGTACTCTAGGTCGTATACTGTAAATTTTTTAACAACAGAAGTTATTTGCAGGTCGAACATTGCATGAATTGGCTTTGGAAGAAAGTATCAGATATAAGCCAGGAGATCAAGTAAGAATTTTTAAGACATATTTTTTTTTGAACAAGGAATAACTCATTCACAGTATTATCGAAATAAGGAAAGGCAAGTCTGTGTTCTGCCTTAATTGTTTTTACTCAGAAAGAATTTAATAACTTTATTAGAAGCAGAATAAAAGTAACATTGGTTTTCATTTAATTCTTATTTTGAATTCTTGACTTTATTTATTTCAGATTGAAGCCTGGCTTAATCGAATTTTGTGTTTGAATGCATGTAATGCTCATCGGTTAGTGTCTGGAATGCCACCACCAAAGGATTGTCAGTTGTAAGTTGCTGTTAAGCATATATTTATTGCAATCACATTAAATATCTCATTTTAGCTAAAGCACAAATCTACAGTATTTAATCTGAATTATTATGGCAATATTTTCTGGATATGTGATCTTTTGTTAAAGTGCATTTTTTCATATTTAGATTGTATGTTAATCGAGATACATTGTTCTCATTCCACAAAGCTTCCGAAACATTTCTTCATAATATTATGGCAATATATGTGTCAGCGCACTATAAAAATTCACCAAATGATTTGCAAGTAATTTTTTTTCATTCAGTATTTATTATAAATATATGTTCACCGTCAATCTTTTTTGTTGTAGATGTTATCAGATGCTCCAGCACACCATCTCTTTGTTTTGGTGGGACCAATTAACGAAGAGCAAGCCCAGCTTCCAGAGGTCAGTTATGCTGTTTATTTCTGAATTTATTACTGAAAAAGCACTATGTGAGTGATTTAGTCACAAATCTTGCTTATCTTAGGTGCTAGCAGTCATACAAATAGCAATGGAAGGAAATTTATCCGCGGCAACTGTCTCTAATAATATTGGACGTGGGAAACGAGCAGCAGGTGATTTGTTGCCATGGACAATATCACAACAATTTATGGTAAAATATATATTGCATATATCTTTACTTATTTATGGTTTTTCCTGATGTCTAGCGTGGTGCTCAATTGTATTATAATCATGAGATACTATGATCTTTATTCATTATTTCATTTACAGTGTTTGTGCTTCAGAGTTTTTTTTAGGATGAAAATTTTCCTACGTTAAGTGGAGCACGAATTGTAAGGATAGCTGTTCATCCCGACTTTCAGTGTTAGTTGTGCCATAATAGATTAAGGCACTCAAACATTTCTATGTTATATGATTTTACGTCTTGTCTAATGATTGTCAATTTTAAGTTGTTAATTATAGCAATGGGATATGGTTCACGGGCTCTGGAATTACTTCTGCAGTATTTTCAAGGAACCGTACCTTGCTTAAAAGACAACGCAGATTTCAGCATAGAAGCAAGCGCTAAACAAATAGAGGTAGTTTATTGTCTTATTTAAAATTCTTTGTAATTGGAAAAGATTTTCGACGTTTGATAAGAAATTAATTTTTTTGACTGCAGAAACTCACAATCTCAGTTTTAGAAAATTTTATTTATTCCTTGATTTTCGCTTTCTTGATCCTCTTATTATAATTTATTAACTATCCTAATTGTCAAAGACAAGACTATTATTTAGAATCCTGATGCTTTAATTTTACTGGAAGAAGTTATCGAACCACGAGCTGACTTACCACCACTTCTTCATCGCTTAAATGAACGGCGTGCTGAAAAATTGGATTATATTGGTGATTTTTAGTTTAAATATTCAATTTAACGTACTACAATTTTGTTGAGAAGTCTACTTGTCTTGTATGATACTGCGTTAAGTTTTTTGATCTCATTTATATTTGAAAATTATTTACATTACTGTTTATAGCCATAAATTTACATTACCTTGTTATAGGTGTATCATTTGGCTTAAATTTACCATTGCTGAAGTTCTGGAAACGTGCTGGATTTGTGCCCATTTATCTCAGGCAGTCCGTGTGTGACCTTACTGGTGAACATACATGTATCATGTTGAAAGATATAAACGAAGGTATCCCCTATTTGTTTGAAATCACTTCTTATTTTCTACAAATTTTTTTATTCTAAATAATTGTAGATATGGAAGATATTAGTAACGAAAATCCTAGTTGGTTGTCATTATATTGGATAGAATTTCGGCGTCGAATTTTACGCTTATTTGGCTTTGAATTTAGCAAATTCTTGCCGCAAATGGCTCTTAGTATGCTTCAGTTGAGAAATACTAGCATCATGAAGCAGAGCAAAAGACAAGGTTGATATTTCTGTGATCTAGATCTTTACTGTTTAGTAGTAGCGCGACTTGTATAATTGCATTCCATATTTAAACCCATTCTTTCCCCTCTTGCTTTAATGGCTAAAAGTGTATTTTAGTTTTTACAAGAAACGGACTGAGAATGTTCCTATCAGACAGTGACTTGCACCGTTTATCTCAGTATGCTAAAAACATGATTGATCATCACCTAATCACTGACATTCTACCAGCAATTGCTTTCTTATATTTTGAAGATCGATTTGATGAGAAAGTTAGTGGAATACAAATCGTTAATTTTTTATCGATAGATTTGCACAGGTTAAAATATTTTCAGTCGCTGAATAGAACAGAAGAATGTGTATTTGAGTTTCTTGTGTGATAGATCTCAAGTTTTTAAAGTACGTTTATCAAATAAGTAATGATCAGCTTAATTCGTCTCATTTTCAGATCAAGTTAAACAGCGTGCAGTCTGCAATTTTATTAGGTATTGGGCTGCAGTGCAAAACAGTGGATGTCTTGGCTACAGAACTTGATATTCCAGCAAACCAGTTGTTAGCTTTATTTAATAAAGCTATTCGTAAGCTTTCTGAGTATCTGGATCGGCTTTGTATGGATGAGATTCGACGAGAAATCGATGATGAAGAAACTACTAAACGTGCAATTGAGATTGCATCACTGCAACCTGTTTCTCTATCACTCGATGTAATTTATCCCAAATCCGATTTTTAGCGGATTATCTGAAAATTTGAGGCTTAATATAAAAATTCTAGAAGCAAAGATATATTTTGCAGTTATTTCATCATAGAGCATCTTTAATCCAACTCGGATCAAAAAAGTTTTCGTCACTCACATTTACTTAATTTAAATAGCGATTATTTAATTTTTAGGACGAACTTCACGATGCCGCTTTAGAAATTAAAGAGAAACAACAAAGAGATAAAGCAAGACTGAAAAAAGAGATCGATCATGATCTAGCACAATACAAAATCAGAGGAAGTGAAGATGACTGGACTAGTGCTTTACAGAATATCAATCTGAAAATGGCTAAAAAAATCGGTCCAATCCTCTCTGTCAAGTCGTCAAGGTTTGCTCAAATAAAAAAGGACTCATTTGCCACATATGAACTCAGTAATTACTAAATTCGTTTAGAACAGCTTTTTGCGTTCTTTTGATCGTGGCATTCTTTCAGGGCTGAACCAGAGAGTGTTGACCCTGCACTACTCGAAGAACCGAATAAGTTTTCCAATAATAAAAGAAAGAGGAAATTTAAAGATTTCAATAAAAAGCGAAATATGTAAATTGTTAGTTATTGTTTTCTTGCTCATATGATTTGTTCGGACTCTAAAAACACTATAAGATTTACAATAGCTCCGTACATATTTTTGTGTTGTTATTTTGATCAATAAAGTTGTAAATGTGATATGGTCATACCTTTGGTAATTAAATTCTAACTGGGAAAAAGCTAAAAATAAAAAAACTAATAAATAGAAGGTACACCCTGGTCTTTACCATACAAAGCAGTTATTGGTAGTGAAGCTATAGGACATTTTTCAAGCAATATGTACGATAACAGGAGTGAACAAAACACGACTAACGATTGCGGCAACGAACAAAATTAAATTTTGAAGAAAGGAGGAGCTGAGTGTTTGTGGAGAGCACGTGAAATCGGTTTTTTTATTAAAACAAGAACTTCCATCCACAATCTTATTGTTTATAATGACACCGAATTACATTTTCTTTGTAAAACTCAAAAAACAATAAAAATTGTGATGGGACCGCGTAATGGCTAACAATTTGTTCCTGTGATGAAAGATAAATTCTGCTGAATACTATTAAGGCTTGGTTGAGCATACACTTAAAATTGGATGGAATTATAAATAAAAAATGGAAAAATGAGATAAAACTAGGAAAGGCGTAAACAGCCAGTGAGATGACATTTGAACTAGGTCAACCGAGAATTGTTTAATTCTTGTAACCTTTGTTGTAGTGTTTCTGAAACAGCATTGTACGTTTCCATGAAGCGATCCATACACCTAATAAATATAAAGGCATAAAAATAAATTACCGATAAGTCTTTTATTTCTTAAATAAGCATATAATTACAAGTACGAGTCATTACGGATAACAGGTTTTTCGATTTATTTTACATTGTTTGTCACGTTATGATACCGAAGAAATAAAATTGATTAAAGGGTAATGACTGCCATCACAGTTTTTCGTTAAAATCTAAACACATTAGTCTAACAGCTTGCTGATAAAATGAATTTCAGCTTATAAATTAGAAACTTTCATACCTCTTACAAAGGATATGAGCTTACAATAAAAAAGATTAAATTTAAGAAAGATTAAATTTTTTCAAATATAAAAATTTACTTCAGATTGAATTATATGTATTTATATGTTTAACTCTAATAAAAAGAATTTCTAACGATACATGCAAACCTTTGCAGACAGTGTTTCTCGTTATTCGATAAAGAGGTGCCCGGACTTGTGATACATTTTGTCAAACATCGCTCAGACAAATCCTTAAATAACAAAGGTTCACAAATCTAAAAATTTAAAACATTAAATAAATACAAGATTACGTTTTCCAGATGCATGGCATAATTTCTTTCAAACATTTTATTTTGTATGTGCCATAGTTTTTTGCTTTTGATTTTGCATTAATTTGATAGTAGTGTATAGAAAAAATGACAAAAACAAACACCAAAAGCTATGATTCCCTAATATCATTAATGATTTTATTAGTAAGAAAACTGATCATGTCATTATCTAATCAGAATTCTTTTATTGAGTTGCTTCATGAAAATATGCAAAATTTTGCCGAAAAAAAAATTGAAGATAATAAGAAATTAACTGATTTCAGTAAAGAAATTAACTGATTTCAATTAACTGATTTCAGTACTTCTAATTTCAGTAAATTAGTAAAGTTGATTTTTGGTAAAAATTTAAAGATTATTCTAAAGTTTTTTAAAAATTTTTCAATTACAAACATAAAGTGAATATGAAAAATGAAGTATATGAAAAATTTACACTGATCATATTCTGAGCATTTAAAATTGCAGCTTGTTGCTTAACTCCAGATATCAAAGACTTCTGCTGTTCAGGAGTGAGTTTCTTCAGAGATTCCAAATCCAACAATTGCTCCATGACAGTAATGAGAGCAACCTAAATTCACTCAACTTCACTTCTTAAATAAATTTACTTCAACATAAAATCTATTTAATTAAATCGCTTGTATTCATTATTCAATAACTCATAAATGGAATATTAATGATGAGTTGTTCAAAACAAACAATGTAACAATAGTAAAAGGTACTTTCAAGCATTATAGCCCGACTCATATCTCTAGTTAGCAATTTCCTAAATCAAGAGAATTTTATGTCACTCTGATACGTTGGTCTATATAACCCAAGAGGTTATGATGCTACTTCTACATTTCTTTGATAATACATGACTTTCTAAGAATTTATTGGTTATGAGGACTTAATTATATTTATTTGTGACGTGGGTTCTGTTAAAATTAAGTGATTGATTGTAGTAAACTCATTCTTCAACATTAAGTCAACGAAAAATTATCTTTGAAATAAAAAGTATACCATTGTATAGAATAAAAAACTTTTCAGGAAATGCTTTTAAAAAGTAATTGTTGCATTCATGTATTTGGTGCCGTAATAATCTCTATTCGTAATAATTGTCCTTGGCATCGAAGTAATTGGCGCCCAGTGTATTTCCCTTTTTTGGTAAAGCACAAACTTAAATATGGTTAGTGTTATTCATTATTTATGCATGCAGTTCACACCACAGTAAACCCCTCAACACCCAGACTTTTCAAATTTTTCTTCACAGCAACATTTGCTTGCTTGCTTTTTTTCTGTAACTAGATGTGTAGAAACTCGGTCTACAAAGTCAAACCATTTACATTGTTTCCTAGAGTATCAAATTTAGACACGCCTGAGGCATTAATGAAAACACGGAATGGCCGACGCCTCCTGATGCGTCGAATTTTGCGTGAAAAACCGTTCCTAGGCTGGAACCACAAATGCACGCCAACAGAAGAGCGCTTGCATTACCCACTATAATTATGCAGCTTACCCTCCATGAATTCGAGCGAATTTGTTCCGGACGATATCATTTGTTGTATATGCTTTCAAATAACAGCAAGTACATTCATCTACAAAAATTTATTCAAATTGTCTTATCTATAATAAGTGGCTCACAACGGACAACAATCACTTTCAAAATGTATTTTTCGTTTCAAAAATATTGCTTAAAAAAAGTAATTAACTTTTCCATGACAAATACAAAACTGAATAATTACTGAGAAACATCTAGTGATATGAAAAAACAATAAGAATTTACGTCCACAATTCATAAGAATGGTGAAAACAATCAGAAGGAATAAAGCCACATTCTTCATTCTACGGACCATAAAGAACAATATGGAACTCAATATGGAAGCTGAGCCGTTCATTTCACCTTACAATTAAGTGTCAAAGTAGAAAGTGATGGATTATGGACTTTCTAGATGTTTATAAATTCATGCATTTAAATTTGAAACTTAATTAAACATCCTAAGTGTATTCCAAAACTTAAATGTTCAAATTTAAGCCGATAACATAGGAAGAAACATAACTAGAGAAATAGCAATAATTAGTAAGGAGCAGGTCGATCACCACGTCCACGTCCTCCACCGCCTCGCATTGGTCCAATGGCACCACCGCCACCACCTGGTCGAGGAGCATGACACCGATTACACTCTTGTCGAAAACCAAAATTCGTGTTATTACAATTATCACATGTCCAGTCATTAGGTCGGGGCTCTGTATTGGCACCAGTTCCAGATCCACGCCCTAAATTAGTATGAAGGTCAGCACGACTTGCATGCAAACATATAAAAATTGAAAAAGAGAAACGGAATAGAGTAGAAAATAGACCTCTTCCACGACCACCTCTGTCACCACCTCGACCACCTCTATCACCGCCTCTACCACCTCTTCCACCTCCTCGACCTGAAAGTGTGGTTGTTACAAATTTCACAACCATATGAAGAATTGAACATTACTAAAGTAATGAAGACTTCATGTAAGAAACTAACCACCATCTCTTCCATAATCATCGCGCGGTCCACCGTATCCGCCTCGACTACCTCCACGACCTCGATCTCCAAAACCACCGCTGAAGGGGCCTCGATCTCCTCTATCTCCATACCCTCTATCATCAAAACCACCTCGGCCTCCTCCTCCGAAACGACCACCACGCCCACCACTATCACGATCACTATAACGACCACCACCACCTCCACCACCACCACCACCACCACCACCACCGCCACTTCCACCATATCCACCTTCATCCCTTCCTCTGCCACCAAAAGCGCCTAAAGAAATTCAAGGATTTATGAGCTAACAAAACATAGCTTGCAATGCAGTACAACAAAAATAATATGTGACCTCCTCGTCCACCACGATCAAACCCACGTCCTCCACGATCACTACCACCGAACCCACCACCACGACCACTTCCACCTCTACCTCCACTTATTCGATTAGTTTCCGACTTGTATTTTGCGAAACTAAGACTCATGCACTGTTCACTTCCAGGAAAACACTGTCCTAAATACACACAATGTGAAACATAATAAATATTTTTGATACAATTCGATTATACAAATTATACGTATTCATAAAAGTTATGGTTGATAGTATTTGGCCATGATTCAAAGAATATCAATTCACCATTATAAACACTTATCACTCTTTCTGCTGTTTTTGCGTCAACAAAAGTGATGGTGCACTCTCCTTTTGGTTGATTAGTTTCACGATCAGTGTAAATTTTAATTCGCGGCTCACCACTACGTTCGTTACGAGCTATGTCTCCTTGAGTACTAAACACATCAGCAATGAACTGCTCATTTGCCCTATAAAAAAAACCAGATCCGAACTCTCAAAATATACACTCCAAATTACTCTCAATTTTCTATAATCTCCATCAACTGCATGGCCTCACAAACCTGAAGTTGGGAATTACTTTAACGATGGTGTCAGCTACTACAATGCAAAAATCTTTCATAAATAATGAGATCAGTGGTAGTTGAACTCATGAAAACCAACGTTATAGGTATCCCTTGTATGAATACCGTCTCCCTGACTTCAATTTGATCGTCACGTGATCCATATCCACCACTCCCAGAACGTGGACCACCTCTATCTGAAGTTGAAACTTTCGGAATCTAAATTAAAGCTATAGCACGATCCTCAGTTGATTGCTGTACACAATGACGGAAACACCTTTTACATTAAAACCTTTCATTAGTCTGTTTCAAAGGATGAAACTTGTAGAAATTTAACTGCGAGCACCCAACCAAACCATACACGAAAAATAATAAAACCATAAACTCTAAAAACAAAGGGAGACACAAATATAGAAATATATATTTATATATATACAATATATCCCACTTCTATAATTCTACCTTGATAGCCTCCACGTGCGCCCGGGCCTCCAGCACCCGGTCTGAAACAACACATTGATTTTTGATCTTGAACTGGTAGATGCAGCCAGCTTACGATTATTCTCTTCAAACTCTCTATTTTTTTTATTTTGAAATTTCAAAAACTTGTGGCCAGGACATCCTTAATACTTTGATAGGAATTATCGGTTCATGACGGTTCTTTTTTTTAAAAAAAACGTCTTCTTTGATTATAAAACCCTCGAAGTTTTTCAACTCGATAGAAATAGTATCAAAAAACTCTTTGCTGAAGGCAACTCTTTCTCTGCTGAGAAACGATTTTCTGTCATAAATTTTTATGATTAAAGGGAGAGAGAATGAAACAGAGTAATCGTAGTTCACTCTGGAAACAGCGTCGAATACATGCTGCACCGTATTGTGTATTCCATGAAAGGCTAAACTAATATGATTTTGTCAATAAAAAGGAACAAGATCATTTTCGAGACTTTCGAGGCAGTAAAAAAGAACATCGCTTTTCGGGGCTACATATCTAGATTTGTTCAAATATGATACAACCCACTTCATGTTTATTACCATATTGTTCAGCTTGTAAACTGAATTAGGAAATGACTCAACGATAGAATAAACAATATTTCTCATGAGCTCCTGACAAAACTACTTAAGTTATTATAATTAAAGTCCACTGCAAAGATTTATCATGAAGTAATGAAAACGAAATATTCTCATGATTTATAAAATATCTAATGTAAATTCGCATCGAAGTACTTGAAATAAATGGGTCGCCTTAGTGTAGAAAGGTTAATATTACTCATTAAATGAAACACGAAACAACCAACTTGTTAATATGAAATATTCAAAATATATTCACCTTTCCTACAAAAAAGAATTTCGAAAATTCCAACAACAATATTAGACAAGTTTTGAAATCAAATAATTCTGCCTTTATTTTTATTGTAACTTTCAAAACGATTTTGTAAAAAAAAAAAAAAAAATAGTACAAGCTGAACAATACGGAGTATTTAAAATGAATTATACAGATTACTTAGAAACTGAGAACCGTACTCCTGCTTCAGTACACATTTGGGTACAAATGAAAATAAGATACCATAACTTTTCGTGAGCGGGCTGACATTTTTCAAAACGCCTTCTCGATTACAACAATGTGTAATCAATGTTTTGTCTCTCTCCCTGTACCTGTGTAACTATTGTACATAGTACAATATGAAATGATGATACAGAACACTTCAACGCTTGGGCTAGAAGATTTAAAAGCTTGAGTTATTTGTAACATCACACTGACGTAAATGAACCTTTCACATTTCTCACGCAAAAATAATCAACACCTTTTGGAGCTTACCTGTATAGTTTCTTATGCACAGAAGAGTTTTAGAACAACACACCTTTCAACAAACTTTTTTCCTTTACACTATTACCAACCTGGCCACAAGATAATGATCCAAATGATCGGTCCAAACACTCATGTAATATTGGTTCTAATCATAACAAGTTAACAAAACGACTGACCCACGGTAATGATCAGCTCCACCACGATCACGTTCCTCGCCCCAACGACTTGGGCGATCTCGCGCTCCTCTATCATCACGACTACCACGATCTACAACTGCGTAAATGAAAGTATATACTGGATTGGACATGCAGAAACATATCATTTAAATGGAAAAATCTTGTAAAAATAAGCTGAGGTACAAAAATATTTAAGTGCTTTAGAAGAAAAATGATTAGTACCAGCAGGTTAATTGTGCTCCCCAATATTCTAAATAGTAATAAGTAATAAAATCGACTCAAGAGTTCAGAACAAAGTATATAAAAAACTAATGATTATATTCCTAACATACAAAATGAAAAATTTGCCTCTATCTCTACCTCCATAGCCACCCCGATCTCTATCATAACCTCCACGGTCTCCTCGATCATCACGGCCTCCTCGATCATCACGGCCTCCACGATCATCACGACCACCATAACGTTCAACAGAATCTGAAAAACAATATTGTAAGGTATCACGTGTAATATGAAAATATGTCTTTGGATCTTTTCATTAAGATTAATTTTCCAATCAATAAGTTTCAAAACGAAAATTTATGCAAAATATTTGCTATATATTTCGAGTTCTAAAATAAATGAAGGAGAGCTATTAACATGGATGTGTAATTCTGAGCGATTATCAAAAATTAAGCTGAATGGATTTATTATAGATTTTGATACAATTCTGCAAGCACGACTAAATGAATGAAGTCACAAACAAATCTATTCATAAACTATAAACACGATTATTTTACCCCCATAGCCTCCTCGACCACTACGATCGTCCTCATAATCATAACCACCTCGTCCAGTTCCAGAACTACCATGATGTGGAAGACTTCTTCCACCAGTCTGAGGCAAACCATAGGCCGGTGCTGAAGCATTCCCGTATACCGGCGCCGATGCACCATTTTGTCCTTGGGGAGCACCGGATTGTGCAAAATATCCCGAGTAGTTCTGCGCAGCATTGGGCTATAGAGTGCAAACAGTATTAAATTTGAAACAAGAAAAATATGAATTCAAAACTGCTGCATCAATAATGCACGAAAAAGTGGTGAAGAGCTAATAATTTATAACGTATTACTTACATCACTAGTAGCTGTTGGTACTCCTTGCGGGACAGCCGTTACTGGTGCAGGTCCAGGTCCTGGTTGCGCTACTCCGGGAACTGCTCCAGTTATGCCTGCTTGACCTACTGCAGCATAGTACTGCTGCCACGCCTGTGGATAAAAGAAATGAATAAACGGCAAATAAGCCTCTATTTGCCATTTGTCTATCTAAAGTAACATATCCTATCATCATTTGCTATTAATGAAATCATCAAATATAATTCAGCACTCTGCTGATATCATGTTTCTTAATTTAAAGATGAAAAAGTACTCATTAAATTTATGTGACTACTTCCGAAAGTTTCTATGCACTATAATAAAAAATAGGTTTCACTAATAATGCCTCGCCAATTTTCAAGATAATGCATCACGATTTTTAAAACGCCATAATATAAAAGTCAGAGCGCTTAGGAATTTAAATCTAAAAATTATACTTGTTGGTATTGCGCTATTGCAGCAGGATCATACTGCTGGTAGGTTGTTGCAGCTGCTAAAACAGAATTTGGATCAGTGGGTCCTTGTCCACCACTTGCTGCTTGCGGCGGAAACGTTGCCGCTCCATATGCTAAACAAATAATATAATAAAACCACAAAATTTAACACATTAGATAAAACTCAAACTTTTTTGCAAACAACTGTTTCAACCATGCACTCAGTTTTCTCCACTTCGATGTCCTAATTAAATACATAAATATTATAACATGACATAAAAGCAGCAGTTATCGCTTCCCCGAAAATATATTATTCCTATATTCTTACATGTTTCTTCTTACACAACTGTCGCTCCAAAATACTAAGAGTACTAGTTTGAAAGAAAAAAAAGACCTACTTAATCAATATACCAGAAATCTTCAAAAATATTAAGAGTGTTAGTTCAGCCACTTTTTTTATACCGTAAAATTCCAAAAAACACAAAAAAATCAAAAATTATGTTATTATTTTATAATTTATTCCGAAATCGTAGAGTAACTCCTAATAGAAAATACTGACAAACAAATCTCCTTCAAGCTACATTTAAATTAAATACATTTTTGGCTACAAGATCCTCCATTTCCCTCTAATATTTTCTTCAACTTTTCGAGGCAAAGTTATTAAATTCATAGTTTTTTTACTGGTTTTCATGGTCTTTAAATTTTTTTGATTTTTCTTAGTGTAATATACAAAAGAATAATTCCTGATTATTTCCAACCAGATCCCTTCGTCCTGTAATACGAAGCAAGCTGTTAAATTTTAAAACAAAAACTTCAGTAAAATTTGCATACAAAACTGAGCTACCCGCCAAATCCAAAATCGATCTTTAATCAATATGAAATAAGCATTTAGAGCTGTACAAAATAAAACAACTACAGCCACGTTTCAAAGCTCTAGAAACTCACCATAGAGGTTGTGTAATTATCTAAATACTACTGAAATACCGTGGTACTGTATGCATCATTAATTATTTAAAAGCAGTTATAAAAAATCATTGATCGTGAAGTTCTATGCATGCAGTTCAATCCATCATCTTAACAAAACATAACAATAACAATAAAAATGAAAAATGACCAACCTGCCATGTAAAGTTTCAGGACTTATTCGCACTCAAAGCGGAAAAAATATTCAATCTGTTCGCAAAAAAACTTTTCTTGATAATTTCTACGAAAAAACTGCGACTTTTATGCCTACACTATAAATCGATCGTTATTTAGACGATAGTGAAATTTGCAGCGCTTTGGACAAATGCCAACTTCTTTCTCGACATAACAGATAACAATTTCTTCTTGCAGCTATTAATAAATATAAGGAATTAATACATTTTATATTCGACAATTAATCATTACCTACTTATCTTTATTAAAAATTAAAACTTAGACTGTACAGAACTTACAAAACTGTTTTTCACAAGACAAAACAAAAAAAAATGAATGAAATTTTGACATTACAAGAAGTCGATTTATATAATATTAACTATACACAATAAGCAAATTAAACAATGATAAAATATAAAACTTTCTCAGTTTACTTCACACCTACTACCTACCATTTCTTCATATATTATTATTTCTTTTCATCATCGCTGTGTGACATTGATAAGCATCATTCATAGGAATGATCTTCAAAAGATTGTCTGTTCCGCTTGTGCAACAATTGCAGCTAAATTCCTCTGTGAGATATCATTATAATGAAACTTTGGAGCGAAAAATTGTTGAACTATGCTGGCATAGATGATAAGCATTGATAAGTGATGAAGATACGTTAAACGATATAAAGTGGTTCCTGTTAAAGGTTCACACTCATTAATTAACTATGGAAAAGTAATAGTAAAAGAAGTTGCAATATTGTTAACACATAATTGGGCGGTTTTATAGTATTATTCTAATGGTTTAACAATTTGTTTGATAATAATGCTAATTTGAATTATACATTAATAATGCAATTTTTCATTTATGGATAAATCCTTACCAAGTAACAGTCTTTGCTGGTTTGTTTTCCTTTTGTCTCTTATGGTCAGTATACTTTACAAACAGAAATTTGCTGGTCTCATCCATAACTTAGTTGAGTTTTTATATTTGAGTCAATCTATGGAGTGTATTAGTGAGAATATGTAAGTGTGAATGAGAACTACATTGGAATTCCGTTTTTAAATATTTTAATTATAAGTAATTGGTTAGCTTTGTTGTAAGTAAGGTATATTTTTCTTTGGTTATTTGTAGGAGTAAACTTATTGCACCGGCTTAGTTTGAATGAAATTAATTTGGAGTTTGTTGGACAGCATATTAATTTTATGGTATGCTCATTCTAATTTCCGACTCACGTATACTTTGCATGAGAATATGTTTGCAAGACTATTTTAAATTGCAAAGTTTGTGTAATTTAAATAGTTACTTGAATGATTTGGATTTAATTCCACATTTATCTTATGTTTGTTAATAAACTGGTGTTAATGTTCAAAATTCATAGAGTGTTTTTTTGCGAAGCTTTTTTGAGTTTCATTTATTATAAAAGGTTGTCGATATTCTTGATTTCACAAAGCAGATATTAATTCATATTTGTGATTTCTGAATAATTATAGATGCTAATTTGTTACAACGATAAATCATTAGCTTCTGTTTCATTTGTTTCACTCTTCAGAGCATACAACTTGCTGCAAATGTTCGAACTCACAAAAATTGCTTGAAACGTTTTAAATTTCCATTCTAAATAAGCTATAAAAATAGTATTACCAAATGGTATTACTATTTTTATAGCTTATTAGAAAACCATTCTAACAGTAATATTTGGAATATTACTGTTTAACGACAATACGAATCCTAAAAATATCTTTACAGTATTTTGCACAATTTTTTGTGATTCATTTTTGCCTTCATAACCAAAAAGGATTGAAAATAAGTGTGTTGCATATGCAAACAAAGTTTTAGTTTTTCAGCAGTGTTAAGCTTTCTGAGCAAAAATCACTCGTTGTTATTGTAAGAATAATATTTATATTGTGCTGTATGTCACACATCACATTTTGCATGCTTTCCTTTGCAGCAATTCACTAAAATGATCGACGATTCAGGCCATTGAATGGTGGTATTAGATATACGCAGTTTGCAAAGAATCCTCAGCTGATTCAACAAAATTTCTTGGAAAAATTTATTTATGTACATTTGGTTCATTTTTCATATATATGCATAATCATGATTCTATAATTTATCATAGCTAGAAAAGATAGAGAATATGACCAATAATGCCCTGAATCATCTGATTCAACAAATTTTTGTGAATTTGATAAACATTTTTCATATCGCATATAAATATATATATATATCATATAGTCATGCATTTTGTTTCATTTTATATCATTTTTAACTCAAAATAAAGTACTTTTTGAGTAGAAAATACAATTTTCACTTATGTTTTTCTTGTTAGAATGCTTGCATGAATTCATCCGATGCAACACAGTAAATTTAGGACTGTTATTAGAAACTTTTATTACGTATGAGTTAACTTTCTGTTCAATTCTCACATGTCTTACTTACGCAGTGATTCAAAGATTCGTTTTTTCGTTTTATTTGCAAAGTTTGAACTACTTTAATCACTTTTTTAAATACAAAAAAGTGAAATTGAAAAGTTGCAAGAATTTGTAACCTTTTAAAACATTTTAAAAAGACATTTCAATAAAGTCGTTATCGTCCGCAGTTTTTTGAGCAAAATTTCGTATATATTTAGTTTTTATTATATATGTTCAGAGTCTATTTATGCTCGTATTTTTAATACTTTTTATGCGTAATTTTAGCATGTTCTACAACTTGTAATAGCATGAAATTATCAGCGAAAACCATTTAACAGTTAAAGATGTATAAAATATTGCTTGAGATAATAACAGCTTTTTGAAAGCATCCAAATTTTATAGAATATTAAAGATGACAGATGCTGATTCACCTATTGACAACGTATGATTCAAATGGTTGGATAAGTTTGTAAAGAATAATAGATATTCTAAAATTGCGGTTATCGTAATCCTAAAATTGGCACTATTAAAATGTCAGCCTTTTTGAGATTTTATTCCATTATTTGCAGTGACTTATCGATATCGGATTAATTTTTGATAAGACCAAACTTCTGTCACTATCATGAAGTAACAGAATAATTTTATATTGCTGCTGGAAAATTATTCATTTTTATCACACTTTTTGTCATTCACAAATTCTGTAGAATAATAATTTAGAATAATTTAGTTATTCTTTAAATCTGCTGCATGTATGCATTCTCAGTCAATGAATCAAAATTAATATTCTTTCTTGATTTATTCAACTTTGAACTTCCATTTCAAAGATTTGAGAGACAAATTATTCTTAATATTAATAGCTACTTCCTTGCTTAGTTATGTTTATGCTAAATATTATTGAATTTAATAAGTGAAATTTTATACTATCAATGTAACATTGACTTACTCGTATTTGGCACTTTTGTGTTTGTTTTTTTGGCTGATAGAAAAGACTGCAATTCGAAATTGAAGAGCTCTTCGAGGCTAGATAATTTGTTATTCCAACAAGTTATTCGAAGTAAATATACTTCAGGAAACTCTGCGCAATGTCTGCTTCTCACAGTGGTTTTCTGCATGACAAAATTTTATAATTTTATAATATATCTACAATAAGTAATTATAATTATTGTAGATATATTATAAATTTAATATTATTTTTAATTTATATTCAAAATATTTTTTTCTGCAATAAGCTTTATAGTATAGTAAGTATATTCGTTTTAGGCGTGAAAGGTATTTTAAATTTTTAGTACAAGTTTATTATTTTTGATCGTTTTAGTATTTATCATTAAATTGCAATTTAAACCACATGAAATCACAAATTTCTGCTCGGAAATTTGCTTGAACCAACAAAACGTTAGATTGCTGGTGCATATTTTAATTTTACATTAATAAAAAATTATCGTTCATACAAAATTATCATTTGTTTAGAATGATTACTTCTGTAGAAGAATTAATTCATGACATTGTTGAGATTTTATTTGCTTGTTATATTTATTGTTCTACAAGTTGTAGAAATAAAGAAAATGATATGATGCATTATTTTATGAACTTTTAAAAGTTGAATTTTTTGATTTTCATTTTTCAATGATTTTTAAAAATTTATTTTTCAAAGATAAAAGTTAAATTTTTTTGCTTTTTCAGTTTTTAGTAACACTTTCAAATTTATTGAAAGAACGCTAGCAAAGTTATCTGAAATTCTTCACCGAAAGATTGAATTTTTCAACATTTTAGTTGAAAAAAAATAGTATTGTTTGGAAAAAATAATTAAAATTTATCACTTTTAAATGATTACATTTTTCTTCAATTTCTATAACAAAAATTATGAAGGAATTTTTGGTTTTGATTTAAAAAATAATAAATTTAGCAGTGAATTCTTTTTGTTTGCTACGGAAAAGAATGCAAAAGATGTACACTGTTTGAAAATTAGCTTAAATTTAAATGCTTACTCCATTTTTGTATTTTTTTTTGGTTTTTCTGGTTTTTTGGTTTTTTGATTTTTGTAATAAAAGGAAATACAGCAAATATCTGTGTGGAAAATTTTGATAAAACTGAAATGAAAGCTTTTTGTGAATAGAAAGTTTAGTTTAAAGGTTTGTAACTGAAAGAGCAAGAAACCAAATATTAAAAAACATTTGAATACTGCAAATGAATCACTTCTAAATTCTGACATTGTCCAAAATTTATCTATTGTAGTTGTATTCAGAATGAAAACTCTTAATTTGTCTTGTAACATTTGAATAAATAAATTGATAACTTTTTGTGTGAAATAATTTTTATTATATTTCTATTTGTGCAATTAGTTTCTTCACTCAATCATCTGACTTATTCTCAAATGTAAATATTGTAAAAGTTTAGAAAGAAAATAATTTCTTAAATTTTATTTATGTAATAAAACTAAAACTAACTACACAAATAGAAATATAATAGAGAAATTATTTCATGCACTAAATTTTAGCAGTTATTTTATACTTTTTTTTCATTTCTACAATTTTTATTTCAAATTTTTTCACAAGTTTAAATGCAAAAATCTTTTGTGCAAAAAATAAAAATAACCCTAAAAATATTGCATCAAACAGTCTACCTAAAGTTTATTATCTGTTTGTAAAATATTTATTGACGTGAAAAATATTGTTCACTTCAATTTCAAATTTTGCGCAATTTCAGTATCAACGGAAGAAAATGCATTCGTGTATGTTTCGTATCACGTAAGTCATTTGTTTGTGCTTAATTTCACTTATAGCTGTATAAGTTCTAGCCTGTCATTTATTATTTTAGTATTTGGTAAAAAATTAATTTCAGACTGCTTACTATTACCGCTGTCTTGTGTGTGCAAGCATTTTCTGTGAAATCAAGTACGTATTTAGCAGCTGACATTACATTCAATAATACTGTCTGCTCAGTTAAGGTAATAATGAAATGAATCCACAAAATTCTGAAGTTTAAGTTGAAATAGAACTTTTTCATTTAACGTCACACTTACCAAATAACAACTGATAATTCTATTTATCACTTTCAGTAGAAGTAAAAGTGATCGTTGTAATTTGTTTCAATTTAGTTCATTTTCCAAAAATGAATTTTTCTTGAGAACTGTGAAATGAATAATAGTGAGTAAATTGTGAAAAATGAATGTAATAAAAAGAATAATTTTCACTAAAAATATGATAATTGCAAATGTATTTAAGCATAGTTGCACTGTCAGTAATTTATGAGTTAAAGTATTTCGGATAGTTTTAGACGAATTGAATAAAAATGTTCTCAGTTCTAAGGGATTAAGCTTCTTGCCGAAATTAAAACTGATAAAGTGCATATATGAGTTATTAATTTAAAATATAAATTAAGCAACCTGAATTATTATTATATTTTTGATTATCGAATATTACTGATAATATTAAACAATTATTACTTAAAGGTAAGTTGTGATTTACAACTAATTTAATCAAATGAACTAAATTGAAACAAATTACAACGATCACTTTTACTTTAATTCTAGTTTGTAGTTTCAAGTGTTTTGTTTTACTTTAATTCTAGCTTGCTTATTTTGAGCTCTATTTAATCTTAAGTGAATTACAATTTTTCATCAGTCAATTAAATCAAAATTTTTGAATAGGATGGTGCTCTAACAATTAATGGTGTAGAAATGGGCAATTTGACTGAGGCAGAAAGACAAGAATTGCTGAATTACATTGATGAAACTGCAAAAATTACCGCTTCAATTAAGGCAGCAATTGAAAGCGCAAGTTTTTGACAAATTTTTTTAGTAAAAATTCTACTTTTTGAGCATATAGCAACGCAAAAATAATATTAGGAAAAGGTTATTACTAAATGGAATGAAATCATTTTTGTTACTTTTTACCAAACAAAAAACTGTATCTTTAATCTTCCATTGCTGAGGTTTCAGCTAAAAAAATTCAATCCAAGAAAATGTGAACGCAAGAAAATCTAATATCCGTCTGTTAATTCAAAAAACTTAAAATCAATTTATTAATGCAAATTAATATTAACACAAAATTATTCATTTTTTCAAAAGGCTTTTTTGATTTGTTTAAAAGGATCACAAAATTTTTAGTTACAGATGTTCGAAAAGTTAGTCGCTGCAATAAAAGGTACATTTGATAATTGGTGGGAATCAGACTCAAACATGGCAAGCTCATCAAATGAGCAAACTGAAGCAGGAAACGATGAAAAACTGGAATCAGGTGGAAATTGGGAAATGCTTGGTCGTATACGTCCACCATCATTCTGTTACAAAAATTATGCAGCTAAAAATGATATGTTATCAGTAGTTTGATATTTTATTTTGCGTTATAATTATCACATTTATTTCAGCAATTAAATGACTATATTATTTTCATTTGTTATAATTATGATACTAATTCTTTTTCAGTACTTTTTGTCATAATGTTGAATCAGTAATTTCAAGTTTATCTGCTAGAAATTTAATACTTTCTGAAGCGTTAAAATAAAAATGCAAATAATAATAAGAGTGAAAACACTAATAATAACAATACTAGTTACTGTAATAGTAGTGATAATAATGATAATAATAATTATTATTATAACAGTAATAATGATAATATTTTAGTTTTTCTGATCGTTTGTGCTTCTTTGTGATTTATTTAAATGATGAATAAGAAGGAAAGTTTTTTGTTGGTTTTCACAAAACACTAATCAAACATCCGAGTCATTTGTTTCATTTCAATTTAAATTTCAGTCTTCAAAACTTTTTCATTATTAATTATTGTCGCATTAGTCAGCAATTTTATTTGCAAAAAGTATTCGGTTTGTGACAACAAAAACTTTTTTGAAATTATGTTGAGGTTGGGGACAATTATTAGATTCTAATTACTTGTTCAAAAACATTCAAAGAAATTACTATACACTGTCGAAATTAAATAAAAATTGGCAACTAATTAAAATTAATTTTCAAAAATTAAAAAAAAATTTTTTTTGAATACAGAGTAAGCAACTGAATTGTAAGTATAATGCACAAGGATATTTAATTGATAAGTAACAATCAATTGATTAAATCATTGATATATGAATGTAATTCAAACATTTAATATTTTATCGCAATTGCTATTGTATTAGCATAATGGACTGACCACTACAGTGTTGACTGTAGTGGTCAGTTCATTATGTTCATTGAAAAGCAAATTATATATTGCAAAATGCTCAGTGGTAAAAGAAAATTTTTTGGTAGAAATAAACATGATTTAGAAGCAATTAATTTTGAGAAGGTTTAACTTCATGCAGTGAGCGATCGACTGGACCTACCAAAGAGAATTTTTTTCAGTTGATGAATTAATTTCAAAGTTTGCATACAGAAAGAACCACAGAAAAAATGCTTACTAGAAGGCAACTGTTTAAAATATTAGCTAAGAAATCTTATTTAATCTCACAAAACTTACCAATCCATCTAGATACTATTTGCTACATTCTAGTCCATCATCAGCTGCTTACTTTTACTTTCCCACACATCTGAAGTAATATAGTACGAATGACTGCTTACTTTGGAGCAAATTTAGCAAAGTAAGTATTGACAATATTTTTAGGTCAAAATATAGCTTACTAGCAAGAAGAAGTTAGCCTTTGCAATATGAAAAAATTATTGCTATAATTTAAAATATGCATTCTTCTATAAATAGTTATTTGTGCAGCGTTTCATATTTATGAAACAAAGTTTTATCACATAATTGCCTCATTGCTTATTTCTGTTAAAATTGTATGAAAGGCAGTTTTTTAGCAAAAAATTAGCCTGATATATAATAATTTAGGTTGTTGCCAGTGGTAATACTGTTGAAATTTGTTGCTGCATTCCCTACTTCCATTTCCACTTCCACCTCATTCTGCGCTATATCAAACGGTCTTACCTGTACTATTGAAGTAAGACTATTTCTTTTCTAAAAAGTAATTAAGCTGATATTATTAGTAATGAGTAATATTTAAATCTGATCAAAAGTATTTCGAATTTTTGATTACGGTGATCATTTTCTAAATGTTTTCAACAAAAATTAATTAATATATAAATCAATAAAAGCATATTTTGTTTATTGACATTATAACTATAATATCTGTGAATATCAGAAATTTTGAAATTAGATATTTTAGCAAAGCTGAAATTAATAATTATGCAAATAATTTTGGATATTTAATTTTGTTTTCCAAGGATGGGAAAATTTTTGTGAACAACGTATTCAAAGGAAATGCTACACTAGAAAACATTCAAGAAATTAAAGACTACAACAATAAAATGAGAGAATGGGCCAAAGCGCTTCACGA